TTTCTACCTGCTCCCAAAGGGTAACAGTTCAGGCATTACGGTTGGCAGGAGCAAGAGGAGAAAGCTAATCATCATCTTCTGCTTGATAAGACATATCTACCAAGCCTTTCCTGACCCCACCTCATCCCTTCTTCTATCAAGATGCAGGAGCTTCGTTGTGTTTTGCATCATGCCAGTCCTACTTTGCCTACATTTGCGTTCCTGCTTTGTATTTGCTTGCCTAATAAAATGGCAAACAGTCTCCAAATCATTGCAGGATTACCACATCCTGGTAGCTCACCCTACCAACTAGGAACTTATTTTCATGAATTGTTTTTTTTTTTTTCTCCCAGAGTGGAAGGATTTAAAAACCTGACCAAAGATGCCAGGTCAAAAATGTAAAAACAAAGAGCAGTTTTTGGGGAGAGAGGTGCAAATTTGAGATTCTAAAAGAGCTCAGTGTTTTCAAGCCAGCCTTATCATCAGACAGAGGGCAGATGCAACAGGTAACAAGATGGGATTGAGTGGCAGCAATTGTCTATCTGTTAGAGACAAACTTTGCATGCCAGATGGGTGCCTCTGAAGCTAGCTTGTCTTCAGACATGATGGAGGATGTGATTCTTGACCAACTTTGAAGAAAAAGTCAGCTACCAGAGTGCTCCACTCAGCAGTGCATGTAAAACCAAGACAGAAAATGATCTTGGGGTTTTCTCATCTGACAAAATATCTGGTTTGGCCTTATTTGATACCTGTAAGAGTTGTACCTTAAAGTGAAATGACTTGGTTTTCTTTCCTATCAAAATGCTGCATTGATGAGAAAATATACATTAATCATTCACGCACCCCACCCACAAATGTTAAGTTTTACACACACAGGAACTCTTACAAGATTAGAGGAACCTATGAAAAACAGGGCCTTCTTTATATTTTATATTGAAGCCTGGGGATAATATGTTGTGTGAAAAAAGTCTGAGATAATTGTGGTTTCTGTCTCTCAGTTATCTCTCTTCTGGCTTTGTCCTTCACTAGACAGATTCACTTGGAAGAATTGAGTTGATGGGGAGATGATAGTAGATACGTTAGTGCTTGGCTATTTATCACTTTGATTCAAAGAGGCTGTTTTGAAGAGCTTTCCAATTTAGCAACATACGAATATTACAGGCTATTGAATATACTTCTTTTTGTTTCATGAAATATAACAACACTCTTCTCCATATCCACTTACTTTGGGGTTTCGTCCAAAGAAACTGAATGATGACAGATTTAGGAAAAACCAAACAATTATTTGTACAGTGACTGGCTAAACCAGGGTAGGTGATCTAAGATCCTTTCGGTGATGATTAACATTTTCTGCATCTTTAATGGAGAAACAAACTGATACACAATAAAAACAGGATAAGTGATTAGTAACTAATATGTGTTACTTTTGGAACCAGGGCAAATTGCTGGAGAACTACTGTAGCAAGAAGAGGATTCTCCTACCTGTTTATTTCCCATGGGGAGGGAGGGTCATAGTGTGAAAAAGAGGCTGGATTAAATAGGCAGAGTTCATCACATGGTCTTACAAATAAAGTAAGGTTTGCTATTCTTTCAGAGGCGTAGCTTGTCTTTTTAGTGAGTGGGGTAAACTTCCTAAAGATCATCTGCATTTATGGCTATAATTTTTTGATTATGTTTTAGATCCAGGAAGCATAGCAAAAACATATAAACCAGCATTTTCTGGAGTTGGAGAATTTTGGAATCCTACATGGATGAAATACACTATGTTGGGGGAAACTGCAATTATTTTTGAATAAATCAACAATTTCTCTGACAATATTTTTCCTCACTATTTCTCTCTCTCTGTGTGTCTCTGTTTCTCTTTCTCTCTCTCACACACACACAGAGAACTGCTTTTTTTAGAGAAAGAGAGAAAATTAGTTTCTGCTAACCACAACACAATAATCCAAAAATAATATGTGAAAAAACAAAGGCATTTAAACAACAGGCATTCACGTGGCAACTATATTCTGAACCTTTGGATCTGAACCCTGACAAGTGAACCAAGTCTAATAGCTGATTTTGTACGGACACCGAGGCACCAAGTGCTCCTGTTTGAATAACCTATATTGAATCTCTGAATCTTTAGGGAAAGGCAACAGAAGGCAAAGGCTGATCACCAGGAGGATAAGAAATGTCTTGATCACACTGATCCCTGTAACATCCACTTGGTGCAAGAAACCAGCAGATAAAAATCTTTACAACATGGAGACCAGCATCATCACTTGCTAATATCTGCACTTCAAACTCTTCAAGGTCTGCTTGAAAAGTAAGAATACTTACTAGCTGTTGTGCAGAAGCCCCATTTAATTGCATCTGAATGAATTGCAAAGCTTTCTGCTGTTTTTATGAGACTGGTCCAAGGTTTCAGGAAGAGGGGTGGCATTCATTATTGGTTTTGTATGCTTATTTTTCCCTATCCATGCTTGAAAGATCATCATATTTTTAAACATCTGTTGGTTATTGGTTTAAAAGTAGAAAAATCCTGCCAAGAAAAGGGCTAGTTACAGCCCTAATGAGCTCTGACAAAAATAAGAAATTCATATTGAAATTGGGTCCTTGCTTCTTATGTATGAATAGTGAAACTGAAACTATTTGTCTTCTGAAAATACGGGGATTTGGAGCTTTTTATGCACAATAATGTATATATATGATCATGCATGAAATATTAGATGGCATCTGATAGATTCCTAATGTACACCATTTACTCTAGGTCTCTAATGTATTTGTAGGTGGATTATAACTACAATTTGATATGGAAATTGTCAATTTCTTCGTGATAAGAAAAAACTGATTATGATAAAAATATTGTATGGAATTATTGATACACTCGCTAGAGTTCAAGAGTGCTCTATGCATGTCATTTATTAAAATGTCAAGGAAGTATATAAAATACTGGCATCTTTAAACCGAGATCATATGCCTATGTATCTAAAACAATGGTACCAAGGAGATATACATAAGGAATTAGTCTGTTAATCAGATAGCTTAGTTCAATAAGACCCATGTAATATATCTCAACCCTAAAATCTTCATCTAGTTATGCTGAACTGAGTCACTCTCTTTTCTTCCTAACTGTAGCAATAGCAAACTTTACTCTGTGTAAAGAATTTCACCGACATGGAATTGTCACCCTCGTTGGATGTGTCTTTTCTTGCACATGTTGGTAAGTCTATCACTGTGCTCTGGCTTTTCCCGAAATAGCTCACCGTCAGGTAATTTTTTTATTCAAAACTGGAGCTGGCTGCACTAATCCTTCCAGATGCAAACGACTCCTCTGGTTTCTCTCAGAGACAACAGAGGCCTTATGTAAAAGAGACGAACTCTGGGCCCTTTCGCTCTCTACCTGAAGCACTCTAGGAACTTTCTAGAATGCTGGACCAAGGGGGCTGAGGGGCAGATGTCTTCAGGCTCACTGACCCAGCCATTCTATAACCGCCTGTGACTAGAAATTCCATTCTCACTAGACTCCCATCCACATCCCTCGAATCCTAATCTAATTTTGTGTCTGAGCAGAAGGGACTGGTGACCCTTTTTTGAACCTCTCAAACACAGCCTGTCTCTCAGTGGCATCTTGTAGTGGGCAAACCATTTGGAGGAAAAGAAAGAACCCTCTCTCTTTCTCTCTCTTGTCACAGCCCCATAGGGAAGGTCATCCTTCCTGTCTAAAGGATAAGCAAAGTGGGAGAAATAATCTGAATTTCTGACAATGTGAATACCAGCCAAGAAGCCAAACCCCAAAGGATCGTAAGTAGAGATAAGACTGCACGGAATATCTTGGTGGGATTTGGGACCGAAATGCATCCAGTTTCCTCCTTTGAAATGAACCCCAAAGCCCTCGAATTGGTGACAGAGACCGAATTTGGAATGGCTAAGGTAAGTTAGTAGATGTTGCAGATGGAGAACAAAATTGGCGGCACACAAATATCCATGGTAAAGTTGTGCTGGCTTTTGAAAGCAGTTCCTTAAGGGGTTTGTATGCCTCCAGAAAATCTTTCTCTAAGCCTGGCTGCCATGAAAAAAAGGGACATCAAATTTCAAAATATCCCACTGCAGAAGGACTTGTATGGGACAGGCAAGCAATTTTACCAGACAATTTTATTCTACGTTCCTGCCAAATGTAGATTTCTTCAGGCATAAGCTGCCGGAGATAAGTGTACAATTTTATATACGCTTCGCGTTCTGAATCATGCACATAGACGTGAATGTATATATACATGCCACATTTTCATCGCCCGCGCATGCCATGTAAGAGGTGCCTATGTTTGCAGACAGGCTGGACCTGCCTAACGCGAGCCGAACGAACAAAACATTCACAATCAGGTCTTGTGCGTGGGGCTCGACGCCAGGCAAGCCCAGCTAGCACCCAGGAGGAGGAAGGGGACTTGCTCTGCCCAACAGGCCCATCAGCCACGGCATATGCCCCCTTGCGGTCTCTCAGCTCTCCTGGAAGATGGCATCTGTGAAGGACAAAGCATACATAGATAAAGCGGGGAAGAGGGGAATAGAAGGAATGGGTACAATTAATGGGAAGAGAGAGAGAGAGAGAGAGAGAGAAGAACGGAACACTTAAAAAGAACTAAATAAAAGAAACGGAGGAGCAGTAGCCATAACTATGCAACGCTTAGAGCAGGATCCAGCAGCTTCACTCTCAGGAGTAGAACAGATGATCGAAACTCAAGTTTCAATTTCACTCAATTAATCTCTAAGTTGCTGTAGGTTGAATAATAGTAATACCAAAGGTCAGAGGGGAAGATTTTGGCAAAGGTAACTATTCCCACCATGCTGGCAGAAGTTTTATTGCCTTAGATTTTCCCTTGAAAAGCCACTAGAAGCCGAATAGTGCAATGCTAAGCTCTTGTTCTGAGGAGAGGTCTTCTTCTCAGCCTCCCACTCCCCAACCCTGCTTAACTGAAATCACTTGGGGTGCCCAGTGGCCATTGGGGCTTCCAGCCCAGCCCCTCCCAGCACCCTTCCCCCCTGTAAGCCTCAGGCTGGGAACATCTCACCTGGCTCTGGTGACACGTCGGCAGCTCCAGGTGAGCGACTCACCTTCCCAGCCAAGCGAGTGGAAAATGAGGGTGATGCTGGCCTGGCAGTGCCTTTTATAGGCCCGATAAAAATAGCTCTGGCTTGGCAGGCAGAGGGGGGGGGGGCTGGGGTGTTGGGGGCTGCACGGACGACAAGCCGGAGGGCTGTGTTGTCACCGAGAGTGTGTGCTGTCTCCCCTGCACACCTGTCATGGGCTCTGCATTTACTCAGGGCAAATATTGACACAGCAGGGCAGGAAGGCAAGCTGGGCATGCAGGGGGAGGGGGCATTGGGAGCCCCCCAGAGTAGCACCAGAGCCTTTTGCTAATGGGGTTGATTAGAGCCAGCAGCCCCGGCAACTCACTCCACAAAGAGCAGAGGGGGGGGGGAGGGAAGGGAAAAGATGCTCATTAAACCTTCCCTGGAACAACACCAGCTGTCGCTTTCCACCCACCTGCCTCTCTCTCTTTGCTGCCCCAGGGCTGGCAGAGTGGCGAGGGAGCGGAGGCCAGGGCAGCTGTAGGGTGGGCGTTGTAGGGAACGGGGAAGGAGGGGGATGGCCAGGGGCAGGCAGAGGCAGGGCAGAAGGAGGGAAGGAGGGAGGGGAGGGTGAAAATGTCCACATCCTGGTTCTGGGGGAGGGCTGGGGAGGGCGGGCGGGTGCTGGAAGGAAGTAGCCTGAAGTTCGGCAGAGCGATCAGGAGAGAAGAGAGTCTAGGTCTCTTGCCCTTGCGCACCTGGGAGAAGAGCAAGGCTGCAGGTCGTGGGGCAGGAAGGCGGTCGGTCTGTTCCTTCATGCGGGGAGAGGCTGAGGTGTTCAAATCCTGCTGAAGGAGGAACAGCGCTCTGGTGCTTTGGCTCAGCACCCTTGGGATGGGCTAGAGGGATTAGCGAGTGGCACAGGCTGGCTGGGACTCAGGAAGGTAACAGCCCAATGCAAATAAATGCACAGCACTAGGAAAACTTTGTGAGACATATGGAAAGTTGCTGCGCTGGTCTACCCGGTAGAAAACAAGAGCCATTCTTCGTTTTAATTGTTTTCTTAGCCTCTTGAATGCTTTTCACCATTCATCTCAGCCAGCCCCTGTACAATCTGCCCATTGTACAGGCAGAACCCTGAGGCTGAGAGGAATATGCTTTTCCTCTGGGATCACCTCAGTACTCCAGGTGTACATCTGTAAGAATCTGCCACAGATAACCTCTCCCTCTGCTCTGGCTGAGAATATGGGTTGATAAAGTTGGGGTAGCCAGGGTGAGTTGGGAGGAAGAAGCTCCTAGACTAGCTAATTTTGGCTTCTGTTTTTAACCAACTAATCTTCTTAGAGTCTCTCTCTTTTTTTTTGGCATCATGGTGATGCCATTCACTTTTTAAAAAAAACCCTGGGTGGACATACCAAAATGGCAATAAATATGATGCCTATTATTAAAGCCAGGCATTAAGAACCATACTAAATATAGAAATTTTATGGGTCACTTCTAGTTTCTGGACAAAAATAGTTTGCTTACAGTATGATTCCCTGAATCCAGTGATTCTTGAGTAAATATATACACTTATTTTTTCCATATAGTAGCGTCCTAGATATAGGACAGTTCTGTAAAATAGGTAAAAACTGTTTTCCATGTATGATAAGATGTGGTTTAATTGAACCATGATTGTTCACTAAGTCTTAATGGCTGGATTATATATAATACTAACACAGAATGAAACAGGAGCTTCAGATGATGTGTGGATCCAGTGTGTGAGTGTAATATTGGATTCTCATTCTATTCGGCAAATAAAAAAAAATCCCAGATTGAATTAATGAAGAATGTGATTTACCAAAGCAGACTTTTAAAAAACACACACACAAAAACATCATAAGTCAGAAATGGAAAAATACTGATTTCTGTCTTTAGGGCATCACACAAACATCTGAAAACAGAGAACTGTCACAATCAGTGGCCTTTCTAGTAGAAAGGGATCACAGAAAAAAATAGAACTGCTGTCTCTATCTTGATTCTCCCTTTTCTCAATAAAGCACACTGCTGTTTACCATGTTATGTGAACCCAGGTATTGTGGCTTATAAACCAAGTTTGTAGCTTCCTTGTATATGTGAACCTAGCTAACTCAGGGTTATTTGATAAACTGTAGTTCCCCAAATCATGCTTGATGAGATTTTTGTGAATCATCTAATTGCATAAAGCCAGATTTAAGGGCTAAGACATCAAATTAGAACTGGAAGGCTTTATATTCTAGTCCCATCTTAGGCACAAAACAAAGCTTGGTGACTAGGGGCCAGTTTGTTTCAGGCTAGAAAAGGGGCCATTTCTGAAATTTTGCCAAGAAAACTGCAATCCAGGTAGTCGCTAGGAACCAACACTGATGGAGAGCACCAAAATAATACCACATAATAATACCACCAATAATAACAACATTGTATAATACAGTATATCCCCTTTCTAATTGATCCACCAGATAGGAAAATATGGACAGATTAATCACCAAATGTCGATGTTCTTTCCTCAAATCTCAAAATATTTCATATAATATTAAAGTTGGAAGAAAACCTTCAGCTATCAGGTCCAACCATTTCCTCAGTACTTACATTAGTACAAAGTACTTTAATAAATTGAAATGGAGAACTCAGCAACTGACTCCATGGTCAAACTGCTGTCACATCTAGGATTTTTTTTTTTAACAACCAATAAGAAACTATTTTTTTATAATTCAAAACTATTATTTTGTATCTTGTATATTGAATGATGGAGAAGAAATCTTGGCTCTCTGTGAGAAATCATTTCAGGTATCTTTCTATACAGTTTCAAGACTAATTTTCTTCTATTTTTTTCAACCACACATCCCAGGATCTAGTTTCTAATCCTCCGATCTTCAAGTGGAGCACTAAAGTCTCACATTTGGGAATCTCCTAAGTTCTCAGGTATGGGTGGGTGGGTGTATTTTAGAGGTCCCAATGATCTATGAGGGGATGCATGTCCCTTGGTCCACAGGTCGTCTATGTAGCTATTGCTTGAGGTATGTGATGGTCCTCAAAACCGTTCAATGAACATTACAATAGACTGCATTTTTTAGGGCTATCAACACTTCAGAATCAGTTCCAAAAATATGCTTCAGGGTGTGAGAGGCACAAACCTAGCACCTGGCCACAGCTGTTTAAGGCATCGATAGATTTTCTAGGATCTTATGACAGGTGCTTCAAAGCATATTTTCCAAATTATTTCCAAGGTGATGCTTAGCCCTAATATTCTTTAACTGAAAAATCATTTTAGGGTTTTGTTAACTTTACAGTTGAAAGAACAATATTTCATACATGAAATTCTCTGTGCAATAAAGATGGCAGCTTTAGCTGGATCTCAGGTGCTCTCATTTGTTCTTTTTGAAAAACACATGGTTTACTTTTTCAAAATACATTACAAAAATATAAAATGATCCAAACTTTCAATGCATTACTGTAAAACATTACTATCAAACAATGACAACTCCTAATGTTTTACCTTTTACTCATTATTTATTTATTTCTACCACGCCTTCATTATTTTTCCAAATAACTCAAGGCAGCAAACATATCCAAGACACCTTCCTTCTCCTAATTTCCCCACAACAACAACCCTGTAAGATGGGTTAGGCTGAGAGAGAATGACTGGCCCAAGGTCATCCAGCAGTTTTGTGGCTAAAGTGGGACTTGAACACACGGTTTCTTGTTTTCTAGCTGGATGCTTTAACCACGAGACCTAATTATTGGAACATTTGGTTGAAATCATTGTGAATAAGAAGACAGGGACATATTTATAACAGTTAGCAGGCTAATAGGCTAACAGTTCTCCCTCTCCATCCTGTTTTAAAAGTTGATAAAGAAGGAGATCATTCATTTTCCCAAGCAAGGAAGAAAAGTATCTTAAAATGGACACCGATATTCCTGTTGCTGAAGGGAAAAAAAGCTTCACTTAAACCTGCATGCAGCCGCTTTCCACCAGGTGATCCCATGTGCTGCTTTTGTTCCTTTGCTCATTTTTTTTTCAGCCTGACAATGGAGGGATTCAGCAGGTGTTAAATGTTTAACAGGCCTCAGGATCACACCTGGTGTAAAAAGTCCCCTCTCCCTATATGGCTGTCAGATGGCAAGCAACAAGAGTGGGTTCTTCTCTTGTACTTGGAGGTAAGGCAAAGGGTCATTGCCCGAGAGCTGTACTAGTTGAAGGTCTCCTCATAAATGAATGTCTGGGTCTGTAAACCAGGAAGGGAAACTCCATATATGATGTTAGGTAAAAAACTGCTTAATCGATGTAGCCAAAACCTTAAACGTATTCTTCAAGGTCCAGTAACGTGAACTTGAGCAGTAATGATTGGTTGTCCCTTCCAGATGGTTTTGCTTTAAGTTTAGCTGATTGAGAAAAAAAGGAAATAGGTTTAGAGGTTAAATGATAAGGACTAGAGAACGGTGCTCCATTCTGTTTTTAGCCCTGAAGTAGAAAGCAGCATCAGCCAGCCTTTCATGTTAGGAATCGGAGACGGTGACTCTCGCTGTGACTTCAATCAGCTTAGTGGTGTTTAAAATTCCTCACATACACCATTTGTAAATCCTAAAAATGTGTATTAGAGCGAAAGGAAATCAAAGATGCGTATTTCGGGGGACATGGGGATTACGAAGATTAATATCCATTCCCACCGAAGAGTAACCTGGGGGGACGGGGGAAGGATTTTATGAAAATCCTTTCCTGTTTCCCGGAAAATATGACCTGCCCTGAAAGTAACTCCTAGCTTGATTTTTACACATGTGCCCAATTTTTGCATATAAGGCCTACCCCCAAAATAAGCCCTAATTAAGATCCCACCCACTCCAGAGTGCACAGGTAAAAATTAAGCTAGGGTGGGGCTGGCAGGTGGGGGTAGAACTGCCCTACTACTTACCTTTGGATAGTTGTAGCCAGGTCTTGCACAGCCACCACACTTGCCTTGCTGGCCCACCTCTTCTGCAGCCAGCTGGCAAGCCTTTCCTGAAGGCCTTTGCA